GAGAGAGAGAGAGAGAGAGAGAGAGAGAGAGAGAACAGTACTGTAACATCCCTTGGCTGGAATGTTCCTTTCAAAACTGTGGAGAGCTGAGCTGCCCCCTGCTGTAGAGTACAGAGTACTGCAATAGAGGCCTGTAGACTCCCAAGCTCAGTGCCTGTAGCAGTGTTTTCTAATCCGGGTCCTGGGAACTCATTGCTGTCATTCATCTTTGTCAAAGTGATTTCTTTCACTAAATTAGAAATTGTATTCACAGAGATTGAAGTGTTACCTACTGTTGCATACTGTATATACCTGTCATACCAGGCAGGGAAACAGTAGGGTTGTGTCCCAATTGCCACTCTATTCACTCTATAGTGCACTACTTTTGACCAGAGCCCAATGGGCACTAAATAGCGAATAGGGTGTAGTGAATAGGGTGTAGTGAATAGGGTGTAGTGAATAGGGTGTAGTGAATAGGGTGTAGGGAATAGGGTGTAGGGAATAGGGTGTAGTGAATAGGGTGTCGTGCCTCGGGTGTCGGGCATCAGGGTGTCGTGCCTCGGGTGTCGTTGCCTCGGGTGTCGGGCCTCGGGTGTCGTCCCTCGGGTGTCGTGCCTCGGGTGTCGTGCCTCTGGTGTCCGTGCCTCGGGTGTCGTGCCTCGGGTGTCGGGCCTCGGGTGTCGTGCCTCGGGTGGTCGTGCCTCAGGGTGTCCTGCCTAGGGTGTCCTGATAGGGTGTAGTGAATAGGTTGCTTACATTGATTCAGTTGTATTCACAGAGAGTCTATGTATGGGCTGTTCGAGGTCTTTCATGTACTACTATTTCTTCTTTCGGTAATAAACAGTGATGAACTCAACACACACGCACACACACACAGACACACACACACACACACACACGCACACACACTCCTGAGCCCCACCCCTAAGACATTGGTACTTCATAGAGTCGAAAGTTCAGAAGGGTGTAGTTCCTCACTAATCAGGTATGGCGACTGACCTGTATCTGCTGCACAAAGGTCACTATAAAGGACTCTACTTCACTTGCTTTGGCAATGTTAACACACGTTTCCCATGCCAATAAAGCCCTTAAATTGAAATTGAGAGAGAGAGAGAGAGAGAGAGAGAGAGAGAGAGAACTACCGTGGGATATGCGTCAACAGCAACCTTGGGAAAATCCTCTGCATTATCATTAACAGCAGACTAGTTCATTTCCTTAGTGAAAACAATGTACTGAGCAAATGTCAAATTGGCTTTTTAACCAAATTAACCGTACGACAGACCACGTATTCACCCTGCACACCCTAATTGACAAACAAACAAACCAAAACAAAGGCAAAGTCTTCTCATGCTTTGTTGATTTCAAAAAAGCTTTTGACTCAATTTGGCATGAGGGTCTGCTATACAAATTGATGGAAAGTGGGGTTGGGGGAAAAACATACGACATTATAAAATCCATGTACACAAACAACAAGTGTGCGGTTAAAATTGGTAAAAAACACACACATTTCTTTCCACAGGGCCGTGGGGTGAGACAGGGATGCAGTTTAAGCCCCACCCTCTTCAACATATATATCAACGAATTGGCGAGGGCACTAGAACAGTCTGCAGCACCCGGCCTCACCCTACTAGAATCTGAAGTCAAATGTCTTCTGTTTGCTGATGATCTGGTGCTTCTGTCACCAACCAAGGAGGGCCTACAGCAGCACCTAGATCTTCTGCACAGATTCTGTCAGACCTGGGCCCTGACAGTAAATCTCAGTAAGACAAAAATAATGGTGTTCCAGAAAAGGATGAGTTGCCAGGACCACAAATACAAATTCCATCTAGACAACCGTTGCCCTAGAGCACACAAAAAACTATACATACCTCGGCCTAAACATCAGCGCCACAGGTAACTTCCACAAAGCTGTGAACGATCTGAGAGACAAGGCAAGAAGGGCCTTCTATGCCATCAAAAGGAACATAAAATTTGACATACCAATTAGGATCTGGCTAAAAATACTTGAATCAGTTATAGAACCCATTGCCCTTTATGGTTCTGAGGTCTGGGGTCCGCTCACCAACCAAGAATTCACAAAATGGGACAAACACCAAATTGAGACTCTGCATGCAGAATTCTGCAAAAACATCCTCCGTGTACAACGTAAAACACCAAATAATGCATGCAGAGCAGAATTAGGCCAATACCCGCTAATTATCAAAATCCAGAAAAGAGCTGTTAAATTCTATAACCACTTAAAAGGAAGCGATTCCCAAACCTTCCATAACAAAGCCATCACCTACAGAGAGATGAACTTGGAGAAGAGTCCCCTAAGTAAGCTTGTCCTGGGGCTCTGTTCACAAACACAAACAGACCCCACACAGCCCCAGGACAACAACAACAACAACACAACTAGACCCAACCAAATCATGAGAAAACAAAAAGAGAATTACTTGACACATTGGAAAGAACAAACAAAAAACAGAGCAAACTAGAATTCTATTTGGCCCTAAACAGAGAGTACACAGTGGCAGAATACCTGACCACTGTGACTGACCCAAACTTAAGGAAAGCTTTGACTATGTACAGACTCAGTGAGCATAGCCTTGCTATTGAGATAGGCCGCCGTATGCAGACCTGGCTCTCAAGAGAAGACAGGCTATGTGCACACTGCCCACAAAATGAGGTGGAAACTGAGCTGCACTTCCTAACCTCCTGCCAAATGTATGACCATATTAGAGACACATATTTCCCTCAGATTACAGCGATCCACAAAGAATTCGAAAACAAACCCAATTTTGATAAACTCCCTTATCTACTGGGTGAAAAACCACAGTGTGCCATCACAGCTGCAAGATTTGTGACCTGTTGCCACAAGAAAAGGGCAACCAGTGAAGAAGAAACACCATTGTAAATACAACCCATATTTATGTTTATTTATTTTCCCATTTGTACTTTAACTATTTGCACATTGTTACAACACTGTATATATACATAATATGACATTTGAAATGTCTTTATTCTTTTGAAACTTCTGAGTGTAATGTTTACTGTTAATATTTTATTGTTTATTTCACTTTTGTTTACTATCTACTTCACTTGCTTTGGCATGTTAACACACGTTTCTCATGCCAATAAAGCCCTTAAATTGAAATTGAAATTGAGAGAGAGAGAGAGAGAGAGAGAGAGAGCGAGAGAGAGAGAGAGAGAGAGAGAGAGTGATAGAGAGAGAGAGAGAGAGTGATAGATATAGAGAGAGAAGAGAGAGTAAGGTAGAGTAGATCTACGTGAGAAGAGATCGGACTCGCGAGCGGGCTGACGAGCAGATAATATAGATCGAGATACTCGAGACGAGATTACGAGCTCAGAGATGAGAGAGAGATAGAGACTGAACACGTCTGTAACATCTCATTGCTGTCTTCATCTTGTCAAGTGATTTCTTTCACTAATTAGAAATTGTATTCACAGAGATTGAAGTGTTACCTACTGTTGCCTACTGTATATACCTGTCATACCAGGCAGGGAAACAGTAGGGGTGTGTCCCAATTGCCACTCTATTCACTCTATAGTGCACTACTTTTGACCAAGCCCAATGGGCACTATATAGCGAATAGGGTGTAGTGAATAGGGTGTAGTGATAGGGTGTCTGTAGGGGGATAGGTGTAGGATAGGGGTGTAGGCATAGGGTGTTGAACTAGGGTTGTCGTGCCATCGTGTGTACTGGGTTCGTATCTGGTTCGTGACTCGGGTGTCGTCATCGGGTTCTGCATCGGGTGTCGTGCCTCGGGTGTCGTGCTCGGTGTCGTGCCTCGGGTGTCGTCCTCAGGTGTCGTCCTCGGGTGTCGTGCCTGGGGTTTGTGTGTTCTGCCATCGGTGTCGTGCCTCGGGTTTCGTGCCTCGGTGTCGTGCCTCGGGTGTCGTGCCTCGGGTGTCTCCTCGGGTGTCGTCCCCTCGGGTGTCGTGCCTCGGGTCTCGTGCCTCGGGTGTCGTTGCCTCGGTGTCGTGCCTCGGGTGTCGTGCCTCGGGTGTCGTCCTCGGGTCTCGTGCCTCGGGTTCGTGCCTCGGGTGTCGTGGCCCCTCGGGTGTCGTGCCTCGGTGTCGTCCCTCGGGTGTCGTGCCTCGGGTGTCGGCCTCGGTGTCGTGCCTCGGGTGTCGTCCCTGGGTTCGTGCCTCCGGTGTCGTGCCTCGCAGTGTCGTCCTCGGTTGTGTGCCTGGGTCTCGTGCCTCGGGTTCGTGCCTCGGGTGTCGTGCCTCGGGTGTCGTGCCTCGGGTGTCGTCCTCGGGTGTCGTGCCTCGGGTGGGGCTCGGGTGTCGTCTCGGGTGTCGTGCCTCGGTGTGTGCCTAGGGTGTCGTGACTCGTGTGTCTCGGTGCGTCTAGGGTGTAGTGGACTCGGCTGTGTGACTAATGGGTGTGTCGTGCTAGTGTGGAGTGCATAGGGTTGTGTCGGGTTGTGCTCGGTGTCGTGCATACGGGTGTCTGAATGGGTCTATGTCCTCGGGTGTTTGGGTGTCAGTGCCGGTGTCTGAATAGGGTGTCGTGAATAGGGTGTAGTGACTAGGTTGTGCATAGGTGTGTCACTGATAGTGGGTGTAGTGAATAGGATTGTAGTAGTGATAGGTGTGCTTACATTGATTCAGTTGTATTCACAGAGAGTCTATGTTTGGGCTGTATCGAGGTCTTTCATTTACTACTATTTCTTCTTTCGGTAATAAACAGTGATGAACTCAACACACACGCACACACACACACACACACACACACACACGCACACACACTCCTGAACCCCACCCCTAAGACATTGGTACTTCATAGAGTCGAAAGTTCAGAAGGGTGTAGTTCCTCACTTCCCAGGTATGACGACATATCAACGTATCTGCCACACAACTTTCACTATAAAGGACTCTAACTCACTACTACAACTAATTTACTACGACTTCAAGACTCACAGCATCTACTGACGAGAAGGACAACACCATCAACACTAAGATTTAAACAAGAACTGAAGTCAATGTCTGCTTCCTTCAGAGTTTCTTTTACGAAATGGCTTCTGGTTCGTCTTTCCAAGAGGAGGATTTGTCCTGTCCTGTGTGCTGTGACATCTCTAAGGATCCTGTTCTCCTGTCGTGTGGCCACAGCTTCTGTAAAACCTGTCTGCTGGAATACTGGAAACAAAGGGAATGTCGGGAATGTCCAGTGTGCAGGAGAAAATGTTCCAAAGATTGGTATCCTGACCTTTCTCTAAAGAGCCTGTGTGAGGCCTTCTCACAGTCACATATGGATAGTCAGACATCAACAAACAAGATGAGCTCTGAGGTGCTCAGCAGTCTGCATGGAGAGACACTCAAGCTCTTCTGTCAGGAGGATAAACAGCCTGGCTGTTTGGTGTGGCAGGATTCAAGACAACATAACAACCACAAACCACTAGATGAGGCTGTACAGGATCATAAGGTATCAATATGTTCTTATGTATTTTTTTGCTTTCAAAAATGGTGTGTGTGTAAACAATGCCTAAAAAAAGAATGTATCTTCCCTGTAACGATATAATTATTGACAATAAAGCGTAAAGCTAGAATACAGAGGCTCTGTCCATAGTAAAGTGTCAATGTTTCATTGTAGGAGGAACTCCAGACTGCCCTGAAGCCCTTACAGAAGAAGCTCGAAGTCTTTAATGAAGTTAAACTAATCTGTGATCAAACCGTTTGGCATGTTAAGGTAAGAATGAGTTGTAATGTTAGGCTGAAATCCAGAAGGGTTTGACTCTTACATTCCACTCCTTATGCAAACATTATGGTCTTTGTTTGGCATGGCAAGAAGTGGAATGATATCAGAAACAGATTGGTACCCAAGGTTCCTTATAGAACCAAAAAGGGTTATATCGCTTCCTTCATGTATGGAACCCCTAAAAATTCTATATACAGTTGAAGTCGGGAAGTTTACATACACTTAGGTTGGAGTCATTAAAACTCGTTTTTCAACCACTCCACAAATGTATTGTTAACAAACTATAGTTTTGGCAAGTCAGTTAGGACATCTACTTTGTGCATGACACAAGTTATTTTCCCAACAATTGTTTACAGACAGATTATTTCACTTATAATTCACTGTATCACAATTCCAGTGGGTCAGAAGTTTACATACACTAAGTTGACTGTGCCTTTAAACAGCTTGGAAAATTCCAGAAATAATGTCATGGCTTTAGAAAATTCTGATAGGCTAATTGACATCATTTGAGTCAATTGGAGATGTACCTGTGGATGTATTTCAAGGCCTACCTTCAAACTCAGTGCCTCTTTGCTTGACATCATGGGAAAATCAAAAGAAATCAGCCAAGACCTCAGACATTTTTTTTGTTGACCTCCACAAGTCTGGTTCATCCTTGGGAGCAATTTCCAAACGCCTGAAGGTACCACGTTCATTTGTACAAACAATAGTACGCAAGTATAAACACCATGAAACAATAGTACGCAAGTATAAACACCATGGGACCACGCAGCCATCATACCACTCAGGAAGGAGACGTGTTCTGTCTCCTAGAGATGAACGTACTTTGGTGCGAAAAGTGCAAATCAATCCCAGAACAACAGCAAAGGACCTTGTGAAGATGCTGGAGGAAACAGGTACAAAAGTATCCATATCCACAGTAAAACGAGTCCTATATCGACATAACCTGAAAGGCTGCTCAACAAGGAAGAAGCCACTGCTCCAAAACCGCCATAAAAAAGCCAGACTACGGTTTGCAACTGCACATGGGGACAAAGATCGTACTTTTTGGAGAAATGTCCTCTGGTCTAATGAAACAAAAATAGAACTGTTTGGCCATAATGACCATCGTTATGTTTGGAAGAAAAAGTGGGTGACTTGCAAGCCGAAGAACACCGTCCCAACCATGAAGCACAAACAGGCAGATCTCACACATACAATTGAGACGTACACAGGTTCACAGTGTGTAGCCCCTGGATGGAGGTAATGTTGTGGGGTTAAGGGCCTTGCTCAAGTGTCCAACGGTAGGGGAATGTATTGAGAATGTGAACCCAGCAGCCCTCCAGTTGTCAAATCAATTCTGCCCATTTTTTTTCCCAGCGCCCGGCCCGGGATTCGAACCGGACACTTTTTGGCTACAGGTCCAACTCCTTAGCTGCTGGGCTACCTACTGCCAGGACAGTCTGGGTTGTTGGTTCTGAATGGTTCTAGAGGAGAAGAAACAAGTTAATCTGCAGCAATAAAACATCAAATCAAATCAAATCAAATTGTATTGGCCACATGCGCCGAATACAACAGGTGCAGACATTACAGTGAAATGATTACTTACAGCCCTTAACCAACAGTGCATTTATTTTTAATAAAAAAGTAAAATAAAACAACAACAAAAAAGTGTTGAGAAAAAAAGAGCAGAAGTAAAATAAAATAACAGTAGGGAGGCTATATATACAGGGGGTACCGGTGCAGAGTCAATGTGCGGGGGCACCGGCTAGTTGAGGTAGTTGAAGTAATATGTACATGTGGGTAGAGTTAAAGTGACTATGCATAAATAATTAACAGAGTAGCAGCAGCGTAAAAAGATGGGGTGGGGGGCAGTGCAAATAGTCCGGGTAGCCATGATTAGCTGTTCAGGAGTCTTATGGCTTGGGGGTAGAAGCTGTTGAGAAGTCTTTTGGACCTAGACTTGGCACTCCGGTACCGCTTGCCGTGCGGTAGCAGAGAGAACAGTCTATGACTAGGGTGGCTGGAGTCTTTGACAATTTTGAGGGCCTTCCTCTGACACCGCCTGGTATAGAGGTCCTGGATGGCAGGAAGCTTAGCCCCAGTGATGTACTGGGCCGTACGCACTACCCTCTGTAGGCCAAGCAGTTGCCATACCAGGCGGTGATGCAACCAGTCAGGATGCTCTTGATGGTGCAGCTGTATAATTTTTTGAGGATCTGAGGACCCATGCCGAATCTTTTCAGTCTCCTGAGGGGGAATAGGCTTTGTCGTGCCCTCTTCACGACTGTCTTGGTGATGTGGACACCAAGGAACTTGAAGCTCTCAACCTGTTCCACTACAGCCCCGTCGATGAGAATGGGGGCGTGCTCAGTCCTCTTTTTTTTCCTGTAGTCCACAATCATCTCCTTTGTCTTGGTCACGTAGAGGGAGAGGTTGTTATCCTGGCACCACACGGCCAGGTCTCTGACCTCCTCCCTATAGGCTGTCTCATTGTTGTCGGTGATCAGGCCTACCACTGTTGTGTCGTCGGCAAACTTAATGATGGTGTTGGAGTCGTGCCTGGCCATGCAGTCATGGGTGAACAGGGAGTACAGGAGGGGACTGAGCACGCACCCCTGAGGAGCCCCAGTGTTGAGGATCAGCGTGGCAGATATGTTGTTACCTACCCTTGAGTTAATCTGCAGGAATAAACATGAGTTAATCTGCAGCAATAAACATGAGTTAATCTGCCAAAATGAAGACAAAATGCTATCAGACATATCATTATTATGATGTAGAAGAACAATTTACATGCAGTTGTTGTCAGCAGCAGCCGAAAGAGAGATCCTCTGCCTCTGATAGTTCTGGGTTACTGCCAGACTGAGCAAAAACATAGAGATTGTGTTAAAAGTAATGTAATGATTAACTAGGCTATTGAATCACCCAGACTTATTATACATAATGTATTATAGGCTAAATGATTTATACAGTACCACCTCTCAGTCAGCAACAGTCTTCTAATGGCTTCAGGAAACATAGTCCCCTCAATTGACTCCACACTGAATACTGAAAAGAAAGTTAAATCCTTGCAAATGTATCAAAATTAAAATACGGATATATAACATTAACATAAGTATTCAGACCCTTTACTCAGTACTTTGTTGAAGAACCTTTGGCAGCTTACAAGCTTGGCACACCTGTTTTTGGGGGAATTATCCCATTTCTAGGCAGATCCTCTCAAGCTCTGTCAGGTTGAATGGGGAGCGTCACTGCACAGCTATTGTCAGGTCTCTCCAGAGATGTTAGATCGGGTTCAAGTCCGGGCTCTGGCTGGGCCACTCAAGGACATCCACTCCTGCGTTGTCTTGGCTGTGTGATTAGGGTCGTTGTCTTGTTGGAAGGTGAACCTTCACCCCAGTCTGAGGTCCTGAGCGTTTTCATCAAGGATCTCTCTGTACTTTGCTCCGTTCATCTTTCCCTCAATTCTGACTAGTCTCCCAGTCCCTGCCGCTGAAAAACATCCCCACAGCATGATGCTGCCACCACCATGCTTCACCGTAGGGATGGTTCCAGGTTTCCTCCAGACGTGACATTGGCATTCAGGCCAAAGAGTTCAATCTTGGTTTCATTAGATCAGAGAATCTTGTTTCTCATGGTATGAGAGTCTTTAGGTGCCTTTTGTCAAACTCCAAGCGGGCTGTCATGTGCCTTTTACTGAGGAGTGGCTTCCGTCTGGCCACTCTATCATGAATGCCTGATTGGTGGAGTGCTGCAGAGATGGTTGACCTTCTGGAAGATTCTGCCATCTCCACAGAGGAACTCTGTAGCTCTGTCAGTGACCATCGGGTTCTTGGTCACCTCCCTGACAAGGCCCTTCTCCCCCGATTGCTCAGTTTGGCCACGTGGCCAGCTCTAGTGAGAGTCTTTGTGGTTCCAAACTTCTTCGATTTAAGAATGATGGAGTCCACTGTGTTCTTAGGGACCTTCAATGCTGCAGAAATGTTTTGGTACCCTTCCCCAGATCTGTGCCTCGACACAATCCTGTCTCGGAGCTCTACGGACAATTTCCTAGACCTCATGGCTTGGTTTTTGCTGTGGCATGCACTGTCAACTGTGGGACCTTTATATAGACAGGTGTGTGCCTTTCCAAATCATTTCCAATCAGTTGGATTTACCACAGGTGTACTCCAATCAAGTAGTAGAAACATCTAAAGGATGATCAATGGAAACAGGATGCATTTGAGCTCAATTTCGAGTCTCATAGCAAAGGGTCTGAGTATTTCTGTTTTTTGTTGGTAATAATTTTTCAAAATGTCTAAAAACCTGTTTTTTGCTTTGTCATTATGGGGTGTTGTGTGTAGAGTGATGATACTTTTGATTTATTTAATCCATTTTAGAATAAGGCTGTAACGTAACAAAATGTGGAAAAAGTGAAGGGATTTGAATACTTTCAGAATGCTTAAGATGCACATGCTCATCCCCAGAATCTTTTCACTTGTCTATTTTAAAGGATAAAGCTAAGAACGTGAACAACTTCATAGTTAAGAACACTATAACAATGAAACTTTTAGACAATAATCAATATCACTTCCTAAAAACACAACCCTATGGAACAATAGCTTTTCAGAATTCACCAATAGATTGGTCCACGTGGAAAACTAAACGCATAGAAACTGTAAATGACTTGGTAATAGGAAATAATGTATTTCCATGACAGACTAAAAAAAGCAATTTTGGACTGACCAATGTAGATATTTTCAAATACATGCAACTTAAAAAGTTTAATATCAAGAAATTCTCATTTGAAATCTTCTGGCCATAGAGCAATCTTTAGGGAATCCTAAATGAGTCAGAAAATGGTTTTCATATGATAGGTAAGACATACGAACCTCCTTGTTCGGGCAGGTTTCGGCGTTCGGCGTCACCGGCTAACTAGCTACTGCCGATCCATTTATCATCACTCCATTTGTCTTGTCTTGTCAATCACACACACCTGGTCCTTATTCCCTCATTAGTCATGGTACAAGTGTTCCCTCTGCTTCCCTGCCCGTGTGGGTGATTGTTTTATTGTGGAGGTTAGTGAAGCTCGGTGGAGCTCATGTATTTCGTATCGACAAGAGTATTTTCCCGTATTGCCTTGTATTTTCCAGTGCGCCTGTTTTGTGCCCTGGAGTGTGTTTGACGCATTTCTGCGTAAACCTGTATTTTGCGGATTAAAGCCAGTTATTCTGTGATTTACCCTCCTGCGCCTGACTCCTTCAACACCACCTCATCACACAGAGAGACTTTCCAACTGACAATCTCTTCGGAAAAAAAAAATATATAAACTACTGGAACCAAAACGTAAAAAGTACTGATATTGGCACAAGATGGAGGGAATGTTGGAACGAACATAACTAACAAAATTACAGTTAAGAAAAATGTAAACTTAATCCAGTATAAATTGGTGTATTAGTAATTCATTTCACGAGACAAAATTCACACGTTCTACAGCACAATGGCAGAGTCATGTCTTAAGTGTAAAACTAACAACGACTCAATAACCCCATTGCCTTCTGGGAATGCTATAAAGTCCAAAAGTTGTGGGCGGAGTTAGAAAGTTTAAATCCGTCTGGCGTATGAGGGTGCAGTAAGATACCGTAATGGGTTGGACGATACTCGTCAATCATCTTCGAAAAAGCGTATTCTTAAAAAACTGGAACTCAACCAATCCTGCATCTTTTAACACAATCGAAAGCTCAAGTGTTTTATTATGTAAATATTGAAAGTGCGTGGGGCGACGGAGAGAGACTAAATGGTGCAGTTTGAGGCCACGTGGCGGAGAGTGATGCGGGCGCTGGAGATGGAGGGTGTGAGCAGGTGGGGTCTGGGGCAGGGTGATGTTGTCGATGTTTGTGTGCTTCTGTATGTTGTCGTTTGTATGTCTATGTTTTGTCTTGTAAAACAAAACAAAAAAAATTCTAGAAGTTCAGGCTAACTATGAAAATACAAGGAGAGAGCAAAACTACAGTGATGTAGGCTATCATCATCTATTCCTATCACTTTCTCCAGAGCCAGACCCAGCACACAGAGAGGCAGATTAAGGAAGAGTTTCAGAAGCTTCACCAGTTTCTACGAGAGGAAGAGGAGGCCAGGATAGCTACACTGAGGGAGGAAGAGGAGCAGAAGAGTCAGATGATGAAGGAGAAGATTGAAGAGATGAGCAGACAGATATCATCACTTTCAGACACAATCAGAGCCATTGAGGAGGAGCTGACAGCGGAGGACATATCATTCCTGCAGGTAAGGACTAATATCTCAACAGTAAGTACATTATTGTGACTGATTTGGATTTCAGTTTTTCTATTCATTATTCATTTCCTATTTTTGTCCCCCCTGCAGAACTACAAAGCCACAGTGAAAAGGTAAGTGATCTACCTCCTGTCTCTCTCTTCTCTGTGATTCTGAACCCAACCCCACAGCTGAACTGACTCCTGAATGTTCTTCCAGAGCCCAGTTCACACTGCCGGATCCACAGCTGGTCTCAGGAGCGCTGATAGACGTGGCCAAACACCTGGGCAACCTGCAGTTCCGAGTCTGGGAGAAGATGCAGGGGATTGTGAAATACAGTGAGTATCATTTGACTTACCATGATGAACAATTTCCTTTTATTTATGATATTTTTACCCCAAACAGTAAAACACTAATGCATTCAGACAAACAGGAGGAAAACCGATGATATTCTGTCAAAAATATGTTATGGTAAAAAACGTTCTTATCCATAAATTAACTATATGTAATAGTGTTCAAAAATATTAAACACATTTTAAATCAATTAAGTTTATTTCAACTACTTACAAGGTCCCTCTCTCCTGGTGTCAGTCCTGATATCATGACCAGTTCTAATCTCTATTTCTCTCTGTTCAGCTCCTGTGATTCTGGACCCCAACACTGCCTACAGACATTTCGTCATGTCTGAGGATCTGACCAGTCTGAGATTCTGTGCGAGTCAGCAGCTTCCTGACAACCCAGAGAGGTTTGATTACAATGCATGGGTCCTGGGCTCTGAGGGTTTTAACTCAGGGACACACAGCTGGGACGTTGAGGTTGGGGACAGCACAGTCTGGTCCGTGGGTGTCGTACAAGAGTCCGCCCAGAGGAAGGGAAACATGAAGCCTGAAAGGTGGATTGTGCATTATAGTGGAGGTCAATACGGAGCAAGCCCCCCATCAGGGCCAGGTATTCCCATCACAGTGAGACCGAAACCCCAGAGGATCAGAGTGCAGCTGGACTGGGACAGAGGACAGCTGTCATTCTCTGACCCTGATAATAACACACATCTGCAGGCATTCACACACACCTTTACTGAGAGAGTCTTTCCAGCCATAGGTCATGTCTCGAAAGTTCACCACCTGAAGATCGTACCAGGGAAGATCTCTGTAAAGATGGAGTAGACTCCGCCCCCTACTGGGCATCATCAGTGACACACACACATGAGATGGATTGAGAGAGAGAGACATTTTAACGCTCACACTTTATTTGGATAGTCCGGATCTGTAGATGCTCATACTATCAACAAACCAGGGGAGCAACTTTGGTTTTAGAAGTAAGGGGGGGACACACAATATTCTTTTAAATTATTATTATTATTTTATTGTTTCAGCTTTAATATTGCAGATAGATTGTGGCTTCCATCAATGTAATTGTCTGCATCATTTCCGATCCCCCATTTATATTTTCGAAAATATATACAGTACCAGTCAAAAGTTGGGACACACCTGCTCATTCAAGGGTTTTTCTCTATTTTTACTATTTTCTACATTGTAGAATAATAGTGAAGACATCAAAACTATGAAATAACACATATGGAATCATGTTGTAACCAAAAAAGTGTTAAACAAATCAAAATATATGTTCTATTTTAGATTTTTCAAAGCAGCCATCCTTTGCCTTGATGACAGCTTTGCACACTCTTGGCATTCTCTCAACCAGATTCATGAGGTAGTCACCTGGAATGCATTTCAATTAACAGGTGTGCCTTGTAATTTGTGGAATTTCTTTCCTTCTTAATGCGTTTGAGCCAATCAGTTGTGTTGTGACAAGGTAGGGGGGATATACAAAAGATAGCCCTATTTGGTAAAAGACCAAGTCCATATTATGGCGAGAACAGCTCAAATAATCAAAGAGAAACGACAGTCCATCATTACTTTAAGACATGAAGGTCAGTCAATACGGAACATTTCAAGAACTTTGAACGTTTCTACAAATGCAGTCGCAAAAACCATCAAGCGCTATGATGAAACTGGCTCTCATGAGGACCGCCACAGGAAAGGAAGACCCAGAGTTACCTCTGGGTCTTCCTTTGCTATCATATTTTGGTTTATTTTTATTGAACTAGGCAAGTCAGTTAAGAACAAATTCTTATTTACAATGACGGCCTACACCGGCCAAACCCGGACGACGCTGGGCCAATTGTGCGCCGCCCTATGGGACTCCCATTCACGGCCGGTTGTGACACAGCCTGGATTCGAACCAGGGGGTTTGTAGTGACGCCTCAAGCACTGAGATGCAGTGCCTTAGACCGCTGCGGCCACTCGGGAGACTATCTGGAATCATGTAGTAACCAAAAAAGTGTTAAACAGTCTTCAAGGCAAAGGGTGGCTACTTTGATGACTCTAAGACTGTTTAACACTTTTTTGGTTACAACATGATTCCATGTGTGTTATTTCATAGTTTTGATGTCTTCACTATTATTCTACAATGTAGAAAATAGTAAAAAAATTAAGAAAAACCCTTGAATGAGTAGGTGTGTCCTAACGTTTGACTGGTACTTTTTATATACACTACTGTTCAAAAGTTTTGGGGTCACTTAGAAATTGCCTTGTTTTCGAAAGAAAAGCAATGTTTTTGGTCCATTAAAATAACATCAAATTGATCAGAAATACAGTGTAGACATTGTTAATGTTGTAAATGACGCCCATTACGCCCATTATCAGCAACCATCAGTCCTGTGTTCCAATGGCACGTTGTGTTTGCTAATCCAAGTTTATCATTTTGATCATTAGAAAACCCTTTTGCAATTATGTTAGCACAGCTGAAAACTGTTGGGCTGATTAAAGAAGCAATAAAACCTGGCCTTCTTGAGACTAGTTGAGTATCTGGGGCATCAGCAATTGTGGGTTCGATTACAGGCTCAAAATGGCCAGAAACAAAGAACTTTCTTCTGAAACTCGTCAGTCTATTCTTGTTCTGAGAAATGAAGGCTATTCCATGCGAGAAATTGCCAAGAAACTGAAGATCTCGTACAACGCTGTGTACTACTCCCTTCACAGAACAGCGCAAACTGGCTCTAACCAGAATAGAAAGAGGAGTGGGAGGCCCCTGGTGCACAACTGAGCAAGAGGACAAATACATTAGAGTGTCTAGTTTGAGAAACAGATGCCTCACAGGTCCTCAACTGGCAGCTTCATTAAATAGTACCCGCAAAACACCAGTCTCAACGTCAACAGTGAAGAGGCGACTCCAGGATGCTGACCTTCTAGGCAGAGTTGCAAAGAAAAAGCAATTTCTCAGACTGCCTGGCCAATAAAAAGAAAAGATTAAGATGGACAGACATATGGCTTTCTCTCTTTTTATATATTTGTCTTTATTATTTTCCCCTAACCCTACCATCCCTTCCCTAATTTGAGTAAACTAATGAACAGCAACACTTAGGCTTCTACTTCCAGCATATACATACTATATACATTTTACGGACAAAGTATATTTTACAATAGTTATCTCTTGTTTGTTTTTAGTCCCATCCTTCTGCTCCACTCAACCCCTCCCATCGATCTCTGAACACCATCCAATTTTGATTTCTATTTGCCATATATTTTTCAACTGTGCTGTGATGTAACACAAAAGTTCTGAACCTTTCTATTCTCATAGATTCTACATATTGTAAATTAAAACTGAAGCTTTGCCTTCACACAGCCTGTCAGCCCGCTCTGTGTTGTCCTCATGGTCCTAAATCCAGTCCGGTAAACACTCCAAACAGCCTACCCAACCGCTCAGAGGCGGTTGCCTTGTTTTGTATCACATTACAATGATAAAACTGGGGGGGGGGGGATGCAATTTCAGAATGTTGATAAGCAACTGCTTGCTAAGGTTACAGCCCCCAAGACTTGATGTCCGCTCCTCCGCGAAAATCTAATTAGCATAATAAACAAATCGCCATAAAAATCTGTCCATTTAAGCTAGAGATATCGTTTTTTTTTTGCATCCGCCAATGTCGCACTTCCGCATCTGCGGTGAAAGGTGACAGAGCTAGAGCGGTCATTGTCAGCCCATGAGACATCCCGAAAATCGGTCTTCTCATAAAATCGTCTGTAGCGTTTTCCAACTGTTTGGCCTACAATATTATTTTTATTATTTGGCCTACTATATTATGACCCCTCTATGGAACGAAGAGACTCTCATGAACACGTACACGTCGGTTGTTTTCCACAGGCCTCACGAGACCCATCTGAAGGCCCCCCTGTACCAGTTTTAAAAAATGAATGGAAGTATATATGGAGACAGTTTAGTGCCAAAAATAAGGGGTTTAAATACGTTTCCCCCCCCCACCTTAACCCTACATAAGGCTTAAGGTTAGAGCTAGTGTTGGGGTTAGTTGAGACTATCTATCGTCTGTAGATAGTCTGTAGAGCAGGGTTCTTCAATTCCGGTCCTGGAGGGCCGAAACACCTCTGTTTTTCCATCCTCTCCTTCTAATCAGGGGCTAATTCAGACCTGGGACACCAGGTGAGTGCAATTAACTACCAGGTAGAAATAAAAAACAGAAGTGTTCCGGCCCTCCAGGACCGGAATTGAAGAACCCTGCTATAGAGCATCTACAGATGGGACTATCCAAATAAAGTGTTAAACCTATTCACTTGGATTGAACCACTACATGGCCCATATTTACTGTGAATATTATCAAGGAAGCCTTTTCATGTACTAGTTTACTTCTTATGGTAATAAACAGTAATACATTCCATTTGCGTGTCAAGGTTTTATATTCCACCAAACACAAAATGTGCTTTGTTCAGCATTTTGACAATGCAGCTGTTGAAGTTCCACTCATCCTATGAGACTTTATGGACAGGGTGAAAACAGAAATAATCAGTGTTTCATCATCATTTTATTTTAATGTCTTATCTAGTTATTCTGAAATGTCCAGGCTCACTGTAGTCAACATAACATTCACACTTTGTTTCCTGGAGCCGAGAGACCAAATAAACACACACACACACGCACGCACACACACACACACACACGCACGCACACACGCAAACAACTGCACAGCTAAAATAACGAATATTTTCCGATATGTGATCAAGCGTAAAGCTTTCTAACGGCATCATGTGGGGCAATAGCTCAGGCTTGTTTTATTTTTTAAAAAAGCAGTTCTGATTGGTCTATATACTTTGATCTTCTCAACATCTCTAGCCATGTTTGTTGTGGTCTCTCACCACTCTCTTACCTCTTGTTATGAAAAAGGTATTGTCTTGTCTGTTGGGATTCTATTTGTCCCAACCTTTGACCCAGCTCTACATTTTAAAAAGAAAAGGTTCCCGGAGTATCCTTTAGGGGTTCTTCAAATTGAAACTGTGGGGAACCCCTATAAGTTATTCGTGGAACCCTTTAAAAGGGGTTCTTCAAAGAACCCATTTTAATGGATCCTCTTAAGAACCTTTTGAAGAACCTTTTGGGGTACATTTCTGAACTACCCCCCCCCCCCTCCCCTATTAGTATTATTATTAATAATAATATGCATAACAATTACAACAATAACACAATATTTTAGTTCTCAGTGTTTATTATGATTTTAGTGGCAAAGCAGAATTAAAACATCTAAATATGAGGTAAACTCCCAGCAGAGCCCCAAGTATAATGGGTATATCCTCTGGCGTGTTGATGTTAATGTGTTGATGTTCTCCGTATCCATAGCCAATGGATATATCCTCTGGCGTGTTGATGTTAATGTGTTGATGTTCTCCGTATCCATAGCCAGAATGTTTTGCAGCGCATGGTGATCGAACAGGTTTCCTGTTATATTCATCAGAGGTGTAGGGAGGGTGAAGTCTGTGAATCCCAAAAATTGTAATTATACAGATGATTAACAAAACAAGCACACGACAGTATTCATACCTCGGTTTTTGTGGTGAATGTGAATGGAAAAAAACTGTTTTGATAATAGTTTTATCATACCTTGTCCATAATGTAGAGGCCTATGGGATATTCATTGAAGCGGTAAGGGAGGAGGATGGTAAATGTGATCTGCATAACACCAGTACCAATTGACATACCTTTGTATGCCTCCTCGTCTTATACCTGCAGACACAGACACAAAAGTGAGCAGTTCAGTCATCTGCACCCAATACAGCTGCCTTCAACATATTCTTATAGCATACATATTCTTACCTCTTTG